CCAGTCATGCATTAAAACAAAATAAAATTCTTCTCTTTTATTTATTTATATTCTCGTTTTACTTACTTCTTTTATCCCTCAGAAGAACTTCAGCTCCAAAAGCTTCAACTCAGCGGCGTTCTATGGCTGTGCCGCGTTCGGTGTACATACACTCCAAACGTCATCTTTGTTTCTTTCTTCCTCAATAAAACTAAAATGCAGTTTCTGAAAGATAAAATAAATAATAACTCCCTCTCTAAGAGCTCCACCCAGTCAAAGAGAACAAAAGCACTTTTCCTTTTTAAGATGACTTCAAAGAACAGACTCAGAACTCAACAGGTAGTTGGAGGAAAGCCCACAGTGGCTAGCCACAGCTAGCCACGGCTAGCCGAAGCTAGCCACAGCTAGACGCGGCTAGCCACAGCTAGCCACAGGTAATCACAGATGGTCACAGCTAACACCAGTTAGCCTCAGCTGACAGTAGCTAGCCACAGCTCACAGCAGCTAGCCACAGCTAGCAGCAGCTAGCTACAGCCAACGGCAGCTAGCCACGTCCAGCAGCAGCTAGCCACAGCTAGCAGTCTTGTTCAAAAAAGGTCTGGGAGCTGCCTGTTCGAATAATGAGCCCCAAGTCCAGAACCTCTGCAGCCCCAGCAATATAAAGTGCACTTGTTTATTTATTTGTACAATTATCTATATGTATGTATATATATAAGTATATAAACTATTAATCAGAATCTACAACTATATCATATATATATACAAGTATAAATGCCCCGTCGGGGCTTAGAAAGCCTACAGCCAGTTTGTTAGTGTCTTGTGCAGCTGCTGGCCTTCCCGCGGGTAAGACTTCCGTTAGCAGGCTGCTAGTAGTGCTGCAGTAAGTTGTAAACCCTAAACCCTAAACCCTAAACCCTCAACGCTAGAATATAAACGAAGGCCAATACAAGAATTAGCACCATGGGAATAAGCAGGAAGTTGACATATTGGGAAGGGTCCGTACATATTGAGAAGGGTCCGTACAGCAGCTGCAAAAGCCTTAAGACTCTAGGGTTCGGTGTTTAGGGTTGGGGGTTTAGGGTTTAGGGTTTAGGGTTTGTTTCCACAACCTGTACGCTCAGGCGAAAGCAAGAAAGCAACTGGGGCTGTGCTGCCTCAAGGCGAAGTTGGAGGCGAAATTGTTTTTCGTTTTTGTTTGAGAATGAGGTGAAGTTTGCCAAAGGGGAAAAACAAAAGAAGTTTTTTTCTTCTTTCTTTTTTAAAGTCCCCAAAAGTTTGATGTTTTGATTTTGCTGCGCAGGGCTGCACTCCATCATTCTGCGCAAAGGCCCTCACTTTGCGTCTCTTTGCTTTTCCCACGAAGCTGGTCTTCTCTCCAAATATCAGAAAATAATTTATTTCTTTGTTTTACAAAATTCCCAAAGATGTGGAAAAAGGGCCCCAGGGGGCCCCCTGGGAAAAGAGCCAGTCCTTGTGGTGCAGGTGAAGGCCAGTGGCAGATACTTGGAGATTTCTTGGAAAAGGAACCAAAATGGTTTTGTTTTTTTCTTTCTGGAGTTGAAGTTAATTAAACTTCATTAGAATTGGGTTTTATCTTTTTTTCTTCGGAGATAGAAAGTCCAAATAAAGAGAGCCCCCGAGTTCCCGAGTCCTTTGCCTCTGAGCTCTGGGACAATGAATAAATTGAATGGAAAAAATAAAAACTGAAAATAATAAAAGTTAATTTATTCAGAAAGATGGACCCCAGCTGCTTCTCCGGGTCACAGTTTTCGCAGTGAGCTGCCCCAAATCTACTTTTTTTTTTTGGAAAATTGCAAATATGAAGAAGTCCATTTTCCCCCACTTGGGAGAGTTTGGCTGAAAGAGTGAAAAAGGCTGGCCTCATTTCAGCCTCCCAGAATCTTTTTAAAATTTATTTTTAAACTAAAATTCAAAGAGCTTTTAATTTAGGAAATCAATTTTAGGCCTTTTAGCTTTTAACTTTAAAAAGGAGCTCCTAAAAGACTAAAGCGGGTTTTCCGCAGCTCCACTAAAATCTGGTTAAGGACTCTTCTGGCCAACGCGTTTTTGAATAAGTTTTTAATGAGATGAAGTAAAAGAAATGAAAAGAAATGAAATAAAGTAAAGTGAAATAAAAAGATGTGAATGACACGAAAGGGAATAGAAAAGATGAAACAAATGGATTCACAGTGGGCTGAAAAAAATGAAAGGAAATGAGTGCAGGTAAAGTAAAGCAAGAACAAATGAAATAACATGAAACAAAATAAAACAGATGCATGAAATTGAATTAAATGGAATTAGCTCAAGTTCGAGGTGAATTCCCCTTTGCCTCTGCAGCTAGCGGCCAAGTTCCTTGCAAAAACTTGCATTTTTTTGCATTTTTCTGATTTCTGAGTCTTAGCTTTCTCTGAAAGCCTTCAACAACAAGGGACCACTCCTCAAGACACTCCAGAGTCCAGAAACTCAAAGAAAAGCCAAAGCCCAAAACATCTCAACTTTCGACAAGGTCCTCCAGGTGCTTGACCATTGGCAAAAGCCCTGCAGAGTTGCAGGAATCTGAGGGGGAAAATTATTTTTAACTTTTGTTGCGAGAAATGGTATTTTTATATTATTTAATTCCAAACTTTTTCAGAGCTCTGTGCTTCTGGGGGCTGCTCTTGGGCTCTTTGCAGGTGCGACAATAAAAGGAAATAGCCTTAAGAAACCCTCAGATCTGAATTTTTCAAGTAATTGATTTAATCCTTCCAATTTATAGAAACTGAGAGGGAGTCCCAGCTTTTCAATGAACAAGTTAAATCCTTTTCATTCAGCCTTTTAAGGAACAAGTTCAATCCTGTTGACTATTCAAAGGAAAAAAACGTTTCTTGAATTCCTAAAAACAGCTTTTGGATTTCAGTGGCTGAGCCCACAAGAGATGTCTTCACTTGTGGGGCGCATGCAGCTCCAGAGGTTCTCATTGGAAAAATTTAAATCCCTTTCTTTTCTAAGTTTCGCATTTTAAATCTTTTCCTTTTCAAGTTCCTCTCCAAAAGTCTTTGGAAAATGGCGTTTAGTTCTGATGGTTCGTGTAAGTTACTTTTAGATTGTGTTCTTGTTCAGAGTCTTTCAATAAGATAATCCAGCTTTTCCTCTGTTAATTCAAAAATACCAATTAATCAAAAAGGGCCATTGTGCTGCATTCACTTGGAGCCGCCTCTGGGCTCTTTTTACTTTTAAAGAGATCCAAAACTTAAAGCAGGCTGCAGCTTCTTCTGCCCGTTCACTGCTAGCTGCGGCTAACTAGCTGCGGCTAACTGCAGCTAGCTGCAGCTAGCTGCAGCTAGCTGTTTTGGTTGGACCTAGCTGCTGCTAGCTGAAGCAAGCTGCTGCCATCTGTTGCATCTGTGGCTAGCTGGAGCTTAGTGCGGCCCGCCACTGCGCCCATTTGTAGCCATAATAAGCATATTTCTGGTCATGGATAAAAGCTGCCATTTATACCATTCCAGTTTGTATGTCTGTGGCTAGCTGTGGCTAGCTGTGGCTAGCTGTGGCTAGCTGCGGCTGGCGGGTTGTTAGCTGTATCTGTGGGGAGGCCAGCTTTGGCTAGAGGCGCTCATCAGTGGTGATTTATCTCTGTCCGTGTTTGCAAAACACTTCTAAAGACAAACTGTTTCAATTTAATTAAAAGTAATTTGTTGAACTTTAGAGAAATATTTGAATGTCTTTGTTGACTCCCGTGGCTCCCCTCTTGCAAAGTAGCTCCCCAGAAAGGTGCTGACCTACCCAGCTAGCTGGAGTCTAACTTTCCTGTGTTTATATGTTTAAAAAGGGTTTTCAATAAACCCTAAACCCTAAAAAAGGTGAAATTCGGCGAAAGTTTAGTTCATTGAATTCGCAGACACTGCCCCTGGCGCCCAGCAGTGCAAATCGGCGTCTCAGTCCTCAGGATCTGCTTTTGTTGCATTTGAAAAGACAAATTAAATTAAATTTTAATTTATTGAATTAGTTTTCCCCCGGAGGTGGGCCAGCGGCGCATTCGCAGGTTCAACACCACATCGGGCAAGGCTGGGCAGAGAGCTCGTGCAGATCGGCTCGGCGAGGGGAGCCCTTGGTTAATTTTTTACCCTTTTTTCGTTTTTAATTTACTAAATTGTTTTAATTTTCTGGAAATGGGAATTAAATTCGACCAAAGTGCACAGACAGCCGCTTTCGTGCAAAGTGTATCTGGGAACGGTATACCTGGCTGCTGCGCCCGAGCGGCTGATCTGAACTGCCCGGCCGCCGCAAAAGTTGGGATTTTGCTTTTATTGAATAATGAATTAAAGTTGAAAGCGAAAAGTCTTCCGCAAACAAAGAATAAAGCGCCTTCCTTCAGTGTTCGGGAGCCTCTGTTCAAGAAGAACCCACAGGAACCAACCCGTCGATGCATGTGAGGCTGGTGAGCAGAAGAGGAGTTATTCGCGGCGGCCAAGTCTCATTAGGATCTCAATAAAAGAAACCTTTTCCCTTCAACCCGCGTTGTAAACAAAATTAAATTCAAATTCCGAGGCGTAGAAACCGAAACGGCCGCTCTGTGGAGCGCCCGTTTGGTGACAGTGGGAAGAATTGCCATCGATTCAGATTCACTCCGAGTGATTCCGCCTTCCTTCTGCGGGCTCTAGGAGATCCTCTGGCTTTTATTTTTGCTTCTTAGGTTCAAATGGTTTAGGAGATATGCCTCGTTTCTCGCTTCATCAGAACCCCGCGGCTTTGTGGCGGTGCTGAGGCGCTCCCAGCCACTGGCGCAGGAGCCTCTCTTCGGCTCTGAATTTGCAGTTTCCTGCGCTTATATTCTTGTCATCTGGAAGCTCTCAGTGCAAAGCAGCTGAAGAGCGGCGGAAACCTCCGAAAGGGCATTTGGATTCCCTGGATTCTCTGGCGTTCAAGTTCCTCGCGCGGCCGGACCACAGGTGGAGCGTCGCCGGCTCTCTGCGGCGAAGGCTGCGGCATTGATCATTTGGAGGCTTGCATTTGATTTGGAAACATCATTATCAAAGCCAACAATGGCCGCTTCTGCCCAAGGCAGCAGCAGCGCCGCCGCCGCGGAGCCCGCTGCAGCGCAGCCCCTGGCTGCTGCGGGCGCGCCCACGGAAAGCGCCGTGGAAACTCCCCCCGACGCCTTTCCTTTTCCCCGCAACAAAGACTCTGCGCAATTTGCTGCTGCGAAATCACCGAGATCGGCCCGGAGGCGCCGCGGGGCGCTCGCGCTGCTGGCTGTTCAACTTGCTGCTCTTGCTGCAGTTGCGCTGGTCCTCGCCTGCGCCTCCCGCCTCCGCAGCAGCAGCCAGCGCCTCCCCGGGGGCCCCCGCAGGCTTTCCGAGTCTTCCGAAGATGAAGGGGGCCCCGAGGGGGGCCCCCCTTGCGAGCCGGGGCCCAGCCACTTCGGGGTTTCTCGCCTCCTCGGGACCTCCTCGGTGTCAGTGGCCTCTGAGGAATCCTCCGGGGACGCTGACTACGTCCGTCCTGTGGGGTCAGCTTATGGGCCAGTTACCTCTTTGTATCACATCGTGGAGTTGCATAGCGAGAGCGAAGAAGAACCACTGGACCTCAGCATGGCGCATCAGCAGGAGCAGCAGCAGCGGCAGCAGCAGCAGCTGCTGCTGCTGCAAGCCCTCACCCAGGGCCCCGAAGACGCCGGCTCGCGCCCCCTCTGGCTGCCCGAGGGGTTCCCCTTTGTGGAGGGCCCCTGGGGCCCCATGGGGCAAGTTTACGCTGCAGACGCCCAGCTGCGGGGCTTGTGGGGGCCCCTTGCTGCAGCTGCGAGGTCCCAGCAGCAGCAGCAGCAGCAGCCGGGGGGCCCCTCCAGCCAGTCGGAGAGGCCCCTCTTGGTAAAGCCAATACCCCTGCGCCCTCCTGCTGCGGACTCGGGGCCCCTCGACCTCAGCCGCCGCGCTTGGGGGCCCT